AAGATCCTGAAGAGCTGACACTGCATCGTCTCCAGACGACTTGGGAGACCCTGAAGAGCTGTAACACTACATCGTCTCCGGACGACCCTGAAGAGCTGTGACACCGCGTCGTCTCCGTGCTGCTCACAGTAGACGACGTGACACTGCGTCGTCTCTGTGCTGTACCGTGCTGCCCACAATAAACGGACGACACTGTCGTCTCCGTGTTGTAACAATACGCTGCTTGTCCCGGCTCTCACTCCTTCACTCAGGAAACCTGTTCGGCTGTCCTCCCGGGTCGGGACAGGAGATTCAAAGGGTACACAAGATACAGATAACCATCTTTGTTCCTGTAATTCAGAAATTTTCCCTGTTGAAGTAGAATTGAACCTTCCTAGGATCCAGACTGAAGTATCGGTAACAGCATTTGCTTAGACTCTTTGCCAAAGTCCAAGGACCACATAAGAAAACTCCCACCACAGACTTGCAGGAATAGAACAATAGTAAGGGGTAGAATAATGTTAAATTAGGCCTGCTAATGTTAAAATGAAGAAACTGCCTCTGCTATGCCTCTACTATCCCCAATAACCTTGAATAAAAATGTAGTTGTTGGGTCCAGGTGGTAGTGCACTGAAAATGGAGCTGGACCCACAGAAAGGTAGTAGGTTCGTGTCCTGGGACATTGAGTACACTGGGCACACATGCCTGTGATCCAGACCAGCTGGGACTGGGGGTGGGTTGTGGTGTGGGGGCCCTGTTGGGGGGTAGCTCCCTCTCCCCCCCCCCAAGAAGAAATAAACTTTTTAAAAAACAGTTGACTCCCATGTTCCTAGAGTAGTTTTATTAACATTTTCTGCTTGCCAGCCCGAAATATGCTCTCAGCCCCTATTCTCAGCATGCAGCCTTACCTATTTTATTGGAACCATATAGTCAAGAGACTAAGTGTGGTGTGGTGGTTAAATGCTAGACCCTGGAGCTAGTCCCAGCTCGGACATTTATCCCACCTGTGGAATTTCAAGCAAATTAATTCACCTCTCTGTTTCAGCATCCCCCCTTACAAAATAGGGATAAAAATGGTATCAACTTCATGGGGTTGTTTAGAGAGTAAATGATTTCCTGTAAAGCAATTAGAAAAACACCTGGCACAGAGAAAGTGCATATATCTTACGGGCACAGAGAAAGTGCTTTTTTCTTACCTGCCATTAAAGCTATCCATGAGCTTATCTATGAGCTTATCCCTGCCTCAGTATTTCTTTTTTTTTTCTTTTTTTAAAATTTGTTTATTTACATTCATTCACTATATATCATTATAGCATACAAAATGAGATTTTCCATCCAGAATACACTGTATATTGGCACAATAAAGCACATCAACATACGAGTTATCATCAACAATTAATTTTCCATTTCTTGTTTCCTGTATATTTTGCTTTTGTTTCCCATCCTTGATTCCCTATCTCTCACCCTCTGCCGTGTCTCACCCTCCTCTCACACTGTCTCTGGTATCCATGGTTGCTTTCTATGCCTTTTCCACACACACACATTTTATTGATTCCCTAAAGCAGCTGATATATACATATCCATGAACACAAGTCTGACTTAAGGCATAAACCTCAGTGAATAGAATGGACATACTATAAAGCAGCACCTAGCTGGAGCTGTATAGTTTACTGAAGTCCTTAAATAGGTATTTTTAAAGCATCTTTTTTAATTTTAAGAAAAACAGTTTTCATGTTTTTATTTTCTCCTGAAACATTTTTTAGTGAATTAATTTACATTCATCCCTTAAGCATCATCACAGCATGCAACATGTGGTTTCCTATCCAGAATATACTGCATAGTGGCTTAATCATGCATGTTATCATCAATAATTTTCCATTTCTAGTTTCATATATATATTTACCCCTATGTCTGACCCTTTGCCCTTTCCCATCCTCTTCTCACACTATCTCTGGTGTCTACAGTTGTCTTCCATTCCTTTTCCTCCCACATTTTATTGATCGCACAATTTCTTAAATAATCTAACTACTTTCAATAGCAAGTTCAGCTGGTAATTTCAAGAAAAGCAGTTTTG